TCTTTATGCGCATAAACTTATTGGGAGCTATTAAAATGGGATCCATTTTTTAGAAAACAACTTCCATTAATCTGTTTTTCACTTTCTGAATTTTATAATTTCAAGGTGTGTGCGTAGCATGGAAAACTTCAATTTTATGTGTATAGAATTTCTTAAAAAACTGATTTCCGTCTTAGAAAAATTAGAAATGTGCCCTCACTAATAAAGGATAAGATACATTTTAAGCAGTAGATTTCAAAGGAAAAAATGTTTTTGCCATAGTAACGTTTAGAAAGTGAATATACCTATGTGCTTGATAGAATTAAAACACACATGCCCTTATGTTACTGATGTTGTTGCTAGGGATGACAATTGAGACAGGTGCTTGTGGGAGGCTCATGGGACGAGGGGAAGTATCCCCACCCCGTATACCATCTTAATATATATATATATATATATATATATATATTATTGATACTAATAGTATATACTAATAATTATATATTTATATTAATATAAATTATTGATTAATTATACTAATATATTTATACTAATTACTAATTATACTTTTTACTAACTATACATTTATTCTAAGAGAGTCTTTTTTTAACTATTGAGAGTAATTTTTTAATAGTATAAGTGAAAGAGCTTAAACCTGATACCTTTTATTTACACTTCTTCTCCACGAATCACCCAATCCATCCCACCCGAAAAAAGAGAGAGAGAGTTGAGCTACTATTTCTTCAGCAAGAATTTGCCAAAAAGAATGGCACTACCATCATTCGTTCTGGTTTCCTATCTTAATGGGGAACTTATTCCGCTGGATGTGTTTCAATGGTCTTCCATTATAGCCTAAAGAACAACGGCCATGTAGCCATATATACTGCAAAGGCATAAGAATCCTTAAGCAGTACGCTATGTTCTGAATAAAAGAATTGCAGCATTTTACATTTCTTTCCATATCTTTTGGAGATAAAGCTGCCAAGAGAATGTGAGATTATAGCCTTATAGGTCATTTCGTTGTGGTGATGTGTCAACAAACAGAGCTTGCAATAATATCTTAGACAAGTCAAGAATTTGCTGCATTTCTCTCAAATTCCTGTGATTGTTTAGATTATTTAGGAGATATTTAATTTGTAAATCATAAATTATTGTAGTGTTTAAAATATATTTTAATAATTGGTGAGTTGTAAATCCAAACACCTGTTAAACAATCTAGACAATTCCTCAATCCAAATGCACTAATGAATGTTAAGTTCGAGTATATTATCTTGGAGAACATAGATCTGAAGAAGGATTGATCTGACAAAGAGCATCCACAAGCAAATCCAAAGGAAAATCAGGGAAGGCTTCCAGAAAAATCCTCCATAAAGGAGATCAACAGTTTCTATCTTTGATTCTTTCACCTTTCCTCCTAAGTGTATTAATCAGGGGAGGGTTTTTAGAATCTTTCCCACCATCAAGTTTAGAATTTGAATCTTTTGCTTGGCAGTTGGTGGAGAGAAAGCTGAGGGGACGGGTGAGAGGGTAAAAAAATCCTGTCACCAATTCCTCTTAGAGTGTATTAAAAGATTTTCTTCAGCTCGCATGTTCAGTTGAACTGAGGACAGCTTCTACGAAGTGGGATGTCTTCATCCAACTGACAAACTTTGGCACAAGTCATCACTCCTTTGACAATCACTTCTTTTATAGCAGGCAGCCATCCTGCCTGAGTTTCCAAGAATGCTGACAATTGTGCTATAGTGAGGATGCTTGGAATAGGATATCTGCATATGCCCACTTAAAAAATTCTAGCCTTTTTACAGGGTTTTCCTGGCTCCTTATAACCTCTGAAAAGCTCTTTGGGGGTTAGAAACGTTGGCCCTCTAACATAAAATGCTACACCTGAATCTGGAGCAAGTGACGTGCACATTGTTTAGAAGATACAAATATCTCGGTTTTAACTAGAAAAGCACGCGACGCAAAAATATAAGCTTCTGAATTAATTCACCTCGTCATTTTCTGTACTCTACACTAATGGCCGTTTTTTGGAATTTAAGGAAGTTTTTTCTATTTTTTAATAGAAAATAATACTAATGGATATTTGTCTCAATTTACCGTAATTAACAACAACATTTATTCTCCTCATTCACTCGTTCTCTCTACTTTAAAAAAAAAAAAATAAGCACAGATTTATCAAATATATACACATAATTACTTTTGCTTAAAATTCAAATAATGTCAAATGATAATGACGTGATTTCTTTTAACTAAAGCAAACTCTTCATAAACCTTATCAAATTTTGCACCTAAAATTTTTATGAAAAAAAATTAACATATTCATCACTTTATGGGATTAAATACAGTTAGATCAACAATTAAATTAATAACCCTTGACCCAATCGTTTCTCTGGGATCAATGAACGAGTACGATTCAAAATCTTGTTTTGTAGCTGGAAAACAATCAACTAGATTAAATTACAACAGGACATTAATCTTCAGTTTTAAGTACCAAAACAAAATTATTGTTGATATCAAGACTGCCCATTTGCATTTAACTTGAACATAATTAAGTAGTGCTAAGATTCGCCACATATTTTATTTCCAATTGAATCTCAAGTCCAATAAAACAGATATAATAACATCATATAACTATCACCAAACCAACTACCTTTAAAGTAGTTAGATGAACTACCTATGAACTACCTTTAGGTATAATGTACAGAGTGGACAGTGGAATAAGATACGACTAGCACTTCAAGCAACTAGTGAAATTGATGAAAACAAGCACAAGAACGTATACACATAGAGCAAGTATTCACTTTGTACTATGACAATAACGAAGATTAAGCAGAATTACCAAGAGCTCTCAATTCTAGATTGAAGACTGTTGAACAACCTAGAATTGTTTCCATTGGCATTCAAAACATACAGAACAAATCAGGTTCAATCTAGTTGTTTTTCATTTTTCCCCCCCTCCTCCCGCCTTAAAGACCAATATAAGCAGAAGTCCATGTTGGAATGTATGCCCTAAAACAATGTATTTGGTTTTATCTTATACATTCCTTATTATATGTTTTGTATTTTAATAACTTCTTATTTATCTGTTAAATATTAGATACAACTGATAAAGTCCTTATAATATTACTAATGTGATGATAGTCACAAGAGTTGGTGACTATGAGATATCATTCGCATTTATAGTAATATTATTAAAATTCCCTAGTTTTTGTACTAATGAAATAGGACATCTTTAGTACGGTAAAACTAGTACACAGTTAGCCTCTAATTAATGTAATTAGTGATTGTTCTCATCAACTATGGTATGAAGATACTTGGGCTAATGTGTAGATGATTTGAAAAGTACAAATGCATTGGAGTGATCCGTTTAGAGATCCCGTTAGGATATCTATCTAGTGCCAATGGTGTATCTCTAGTGAAAAATTGTGTAAGTGATCCTACGACTTGAGATCACCATAGAATCTTGAGTGAGAAACACTACATTTTGACTCTAATTACTTGTTACTCTTTGAGAGTACCTTAAAGTATAGAAGTTGGATGTAGTGTGAAGCACGTAAAGAAAAATGGGTGATCAAGATAGGATTTACCACTCTGATAGAAGGAGTCGATATCCGGATGGCCACTAGTGAGAAATTAACCCTAAAGTCAACTATTAGGTAAATTGAAGAATGTCTTCAATTTAACCAAATTAAGGGTAAATTTCGGGAACTAGAAAATTTAATTAGTCATCAGGGAATTGGCACTTATTCCTTATTCCTGACTAATTGGATATCTTGGGTAAAAGGATAATAATTACACGGTAATTTTTCACGGAAAGGTTAGGTCAAATTCCCTTGACTAATTCCGAATAATTGGGCAATCGCGATGTGTTGCTAGACACCGCTCGTGATTTATAATTATGGATTAATTATTTATGATAAGCTATGATAAAATAAAGTCGTTTATTTTATCTAATTATTAAACCATAATTATTACCAATGCATTCGGGACCTATTGGGTCACACGCAATAGAGATTTAATCCTGGATTGAAACTATGTAAATTATCAGGGTTTAATTTTAAAGGAAAATTAATCCCAGGCCTTTTTGAGCAGATAAGAGTAAATGGTTATCTCTTATCTATCAGATAATGATAGATAGAGTCTTATGTGATTAGAAGTCTCATGGTTTTGATTTTGAATCATAAAAGAAGACTTATCATTCTATATCAGAAGACATCTCTCTAATCATAGCTCTCTCGATTTTTCTCCCAAATATACGAAAAGAAAACAAGGTTTTGTGATTGTCACACACAAAAAGAGAGAAACATATACGATTGAAAAGTGGAGAAAGGCTAGCACCTTTTTCTCTTCAATACATAGTTCGTGAGACGATCCAGGGTTGCTCTAGCGTGGATATCAGTAGAGGCAGGACGATTGGACTGCTCAAGGGCTGACCATCCTCAAACAACGCTGCAGGGAGACGCCGCTTGGATTAAGGTAATCCTAAAACCCTACTTCTAGTACATCATACGTAAAATCTAGGGTGATTCCTGGATGGTTTTAGGGAAAAATTTTTATTTTTCCGCTGCGTAGTGTCCCTAAAACCTAACAGTCCAAGGGAAAGACTGGTCAAACTAAGAGGCCTGGAGATGTTGGCTTGACAGTGGCAAAACTAATTGTTCCATAGCAACCAAGTTTTGGTTCCTCAGCTATCTAAAATAAAAGGAGAAAAAGGGACTAAGTACAGAGTGGCCCGATACACAAGAGAAATATACGAACCAGATCAATTCATAGCACACACAACACAACTTTGGCAGAAGATTAGGCCATAAATTTCAAATCCTCAACAGCAGAACCTTCACTTTTCTCTGAAAAAAAAAAATGGCAACTTCAGTTTTTTTTTCTAGATACTCAAATAAGCTAACACCATCTTTCACAATTGACATGGCAACTAGATGAAGGAAATGAAACTGAACTTCATAAGTTTTGGACCTACACCTCTCAGCAGAAGACCTGTAGGCTTCAGATCAAGTTCAAAAAACCTTTTCAATACACCTTGTCCCCATTTGCTGGTTTTTTTGAAAGAAGGCACTTGCTGCTAGAACATTCAACTTCACTCTGTCTCATGCATCTTCTGTTAAATAAAGTCACAACAAATCCTCCCAAATTTCCCAAGCAACTCTGGTACCATGAGAATATGTGTCAAGAATGTCAACAATATCAATACTAGCAGTTTCCTTGATCTTCTGGAACTTGTATAGTTAATAACCACGGACATCATCACACGGGCAGAGCCAGCAGAAGTTTCAAAACTTCAGTAAAACTCAATGAATGGAATGTTGAAATAAGATATTATCATTTTCAGCAAAGAAGTTCATCTAATCACAATGAGTACACAGAGATGAAAACAGAAAAGGCAAACTGTTTACACAATGAAACTATCCAGGATTAACTAGATTCACCAAAAGGACATGGGTTGTAGCTTGTAGATTTTTCCTCAAGCTTACCTAAGACCATTATGGCATTCTAGCAAGTTGTGATTGGTAACCAAAACACACAGAACAAATGCAGGCCTTGAAAAATTATTAGCAATCATCTAAGTGAAACACTGAACCTGTGACGGCCCCACTTCTCCCTAGGGCGTACCCCAGGGTTCGATGGGTCGTCTACCCAACTCTCGCCGGGACTCACTCACTCATAAAATTAGAAAATAGATTCACGCCAAAAGAAAATTCTGTTTAAACGATTACATCTTCAAAAGTTGCACAACCTAGTACATCGAGTCTTGCATACCACGAGTACCAGAAACTAAACCCTAGAAAAACTGATAACTACAACCATCACGACAACTATATATATCTTACTTGTCAACTTATAACAAGTACAAGTTCAACTCGTCTATAATCAAAACACTAAACCCCTTCTCGAGCGATCCCCGCGTCAACCCCGTGCTAAGGAAAACAAATAGAATGGGGTAAACTATATGCTTAGTGAGTAATTAGGGAAAAAATGTAAAGTCACATAATTAAACAAGTAAATCAGGATATTTCACATCAATGACAAAAAGTAACATCACAATGGTAGGATACGGGTGACTCCAAAACCAGTTCAATTCCCCGAGCTTTAACGCCTGTTGACACTCCGTCAACCAAAGTACTCATGGTCTGTAGACTCCAATTAAACTTTCCCGTTCACCTTATCAACCCCCACTGGCCAGTCAACAGCACACAGCAGCTCGAGCGAAAAAAAAAATAACTTAGCTTTCGTCAAAACTTTAACAAGGAACTAAATCCCAAGTTTAGCATGGAACTATCTTCGATCAAGCCCCACCTGGCTCGAATAGTTCGTCTAACCCTTGGAACCGGATTGGAACCAAGCCCTAAGATATCCGATCTCTCAATAGATGGTATCTCTCGACAAAGTACACAACAAAGTACTTACCCCAAACAGCACACAGTAAATGGGATTTAATTCAAGTCATGTAATCACCCCCATAAGCACACAGCAAGAGGGTGATACCCAAGTCATGTAATCACCCTCCTCAGCACACAGCAAGAGGGTGATACTCAACATAAGGCATGTATTCCCACATAGAAAATCAAAACAAATGATGGGCTTAGGTCAAGTGCGATAAAGTACACCCTCGCCTAAGTACCCATTTAACATATACAAGGTACTTCAACAATTCCACATCAATAAACAACCCAATTACTCACTTGATAAAACTTGGCACGAAAACGATGCAATTCACTGAACTTGACCATCACCGTCAAAAGCCTCACAATCTGTATTGACAGATTATATGCACACATAAGTGAAACGGCCATACAATAGCAGTTTATAACTTAAACAATCGAATACGGTTGAAGACGGTCAAAAATAATAAAAAACGGTCAAAAATAACGTTAAGGCCAAAAGAATGTCGAAATTGCCCAATACGGCCGGAATGGTAACAAAATAACAAAAGTAGACCTAAACGGTCCAAAACGGCAAAAATGGTTGAGAAATGCACGTGCGCGTGCATGAAAATGAAAATGATACAAAACGGGTTACACGATTTTGCCCATAACTGGAGCTGTGGTTATCAAATCAAAATGTACTAGATGGTGTCTCGAATCTTAGACAAAAGGTTACAATTTCCATGAAGATACCTCAACCCATTTTTCAGTGTATCCAAGTTAAACTTGCAAGATACAGAACTAGAACTCCAAAGGCTAGTTTATCTTTCTCGTGAAAATTTGGCGGCATGCCCCTTGTGTTTACCCATTTCCAGCCATTTATGGCTTCAACATTTTCCTCAAATAGTCCCAAAGTCACACATAAAATAACCTCATTTCAATAACCGTTCAATAGGCTCAACGTCATACAAATACAAAATTAAACTAGGTACATGTCCGGAAATGAAATGTAAGGCATAAATTAAAAGACAGATTTGCCATCACTTAGCGTAACGAGCACAACCGAAGCTACGCTTATCGGAGTAGGGTGAAATTTATACCGTTTCGAAACTAAGACAGAGTGCTACAACTTTGATGAAGGCTACTCAGTCCAGTTTGTAGTGTATCTGGGTCAAAAGTCCGGATTACAGAACCAAAATCCCACATTCGGGCTAGTTAACCGCATTATACGTAAACGATAATAACTCAGGCTACCGAAGTCCGATTGAGGTGTTTTCTATTGCATTGGAAAGCTGAAACATAGGGCTAAAACTTTCATGTTTTGACTAAAAGCTAGTTCAATACATATCAAGGTGAACAAACGCAACAAACTTAGTGTACTATCAAAGCTGTTCACTGATTTTACACCTAGGGCAGTCAGGGTATTTTCGTCTTTTCACAGGCTACGTTGCTCTGATTGAGATGAAATTTTGTAGGCAATCATAAAATATCATTCTCTATAACTTTCATGTTTTGTGCTAAGCCTAATTAGGCTTCTAACATGATGAAATAGAATCGGACAGAACTGAAGCTAAATTTTCCAGAAATCTGGAATTTTTGTTATTTCAAGCTATAATTCTCATTTCTACCTTGAAACTACCACTACTATCACCTTTACAAGATCATATACCATATACATACATCATACCACACCTAACTCACAAGAAATCCTAATTCAAAAGTCATCCATCTAATCATTAAAATCACTTGAAATAAGCGTCACAAACATAATACTAACATTAATACCCAACTTAATCATGATTAATGGAGAAAGAATGGTTGATCAGCCATTATATCTCAAGACAAGAGTTTGCTAGGATGATCCTTCACCTCTCCTTGAAATTCTTGGTTCCTTAAGCTTCCCAAACTTCCAACTAGTGATTAATTGATTTAATTTTTCTTGGTTGCACTCAAGAGGTTGGATTCAAGGTAGAAGATTGAACTTTCTTCACTCTCTTGCTCCTCCTAGCTCTCGGCCAAAACAGGAAGAAAAATGAGGAAAGATGAACTCAAATGGAAGATAAGAATGTGAGACTTGGCTTGGTCAAGAAACCATAGGTGGTTGACACTTGTCACCACCAAAGCCTTCCAAGTTTCTCTTTCTTTTCCTTGTATTTTGGGCCACATATTTCGATCATATGGCTGAGAATGAGGGGGGATATTTTGCAAAAATATCAAGGGTATGTGATGGTAAGGAAGTGGTGAGTTCAATCAGTAGTGATCAATACCTGTCGGTTTGAGCCGATTTTTCTTAAATCGCGTATACTAGGATTTTTACCTTCTAATTACTAACTTATTATTTTCACTTCTAATCACACACTTAATATTATTAAAACTCACTTTTAATCCCCAAATTTGATCCACACTTCGTACTGGATAGTCGCACTACGGAAAAAAACATGAAAACCCTAATTCACTCTAACTTGAAAACGGACAACGAAAACCCTTACTTCTATATTCATTTACACTTATTGTGATGTGATTGGGTAGTAGGGTTATTATAAAATCTTAAGTTCCAAATAAAAGGGAATTTTTAAAAAAACGGGGACTTTTACAAAGGGAATTTTTACAATTCCATAAATTGAATTTAGGATTTCAGTTAAAATATGAGAAATTTGAGAAAACGGTCAATCACAAGTGAAACTAGGGTTTTGATTAGACGTTTGGGGTTTCTAATCTTTTTAAAATAAAATAAGGTTTTAAATCAAATCCAAAGAAATAACTTTAGTTTCTTCTTTAAAACAAAATATTATTTTTAAAATAAAAATAAACTAAAGAAACCGTAATATCCTCTTTGAGACTAAACAAAAGATGATCCTAAAAGTTGGGGTATCACAGAACCAAACATCGAGGCAACTTAATTAGTTTAATCAAACACTAACCAATTCATAAGTATGTTTGGTAACTGAGCAATCTTAGAATTAAAACATGAATGAGGCAAAAAAAAAAATTTAAAAAGTAATAAACAGACTTAACAATGACCTAAGAACTAGATCAATTCATGTGAAAAGGGTGAACTTATGTGGAACATCATAGTTAATTCCATTTTGGCCACACTCTTCATAAGTCTTTCAGTGCACCAAAATAGAAATTCCGTTTGAAGAAACTTGAATAGACTAATATTTTATTTCACAATTAAAATGCAAGCTAGACGAACAAGGTGAAACGAAAACGTCGCACCTTTTTGTTTTCAAAAGAATAGGAAGGGCAACGCAGGAAGGGGGTATGGTTTGGGGGAAGAATTGAGCTCGCATGGGCCATATCCAATTAGACAAACATTAAAAAGGTGCAGGGAGGGCTTTTTGTTCAACTTCCACAGATCCAACTACCACATCTTGTTCCTCAATGCCAGTCATTTTCAAAAGAATATCACAAATTAATCATTCAAGACTCTGGTTTCTTCAGTGGTATGACCTTGACGCAGCACAAACACTTGGTAGTCGCAAAGAATTGATGGGATATGATATCTACACAGTTGATAATGCATTCCAAGCAGGTTGTAGACTTGAAAAGAGCCTGCGACAGACACTAATTAAGAGGTTCAATACTCAAGGCAGGGAGGTAGTTCCTAAAAGATTTGCTGCAAATGGCAAGCCATATAAATCAGCAGCAACTCAAGTAACTTCCAAGCCTGCAGAGACAAAAACTAAGGCTTCCAATCGATGAACAAAACAAGAACAAAGATGGATGTTTCAAATATGGTTTGAAGGGACACATGGCATGGGAGTGCCCGAACAAGAGAAACTTGCTCATTGACGCTGCAACTTGGAATAGGATGAGAAAGTATGCTCAAGGAGATGAAAATCTGAGTAGTAATTCTAGGAATCACTCCTAGGAGTCTCATCCTATTCCAAGCATATGAAAATCTGAGTAGTAATTCTAGGAATCACTCCTAGGAGTCTCATCCCATTCCAAACATATTTTCTCATCCTATTCCAAGTTGCTATTTTAAATTCGGCTGAAATTCAATATCTGGGCTTTTCTACCAAGCTATTGTGCCTACCAAGTGTTTGTGCTGCGTCAGACCTGAAGAATCTTCCTAATTAATCCAAGCAAGCAACTTTAGTTCTACAAGAATTTCTGTCGAGAACGTAAATGGTCCTATATTAGCAATGCCTATGTATGTCAAGATTAGAAGTTATCTCATAATACCAATATCTTTTATTGAGTACCCAGGTAACTTCAAGAAGGGATTAGTGACGAATAATTAAAAAAAAAAATACTCAAAGTACAGACTCAGGTACAAGTAACATGGGATCCAAGTACAGACTCAGGTGGGTTAAACAACAACCAATGTAACAGAAAAACAAGCCAGAGACAGATGACTGGTATTACATCCAAAGTAGAGATCCAGATAGATCTTTTCATCCATTAGATTATTATCATGCATCTAGAGGCATATACATTGAGTTTAAAATTAAAAGTCTTCTTAATCTGAGAAAGAAAACATTTTGTCCACCAACATCCATCTTAGAAAATTCTGATGGAAAACATCACAATAGCTGAAGCAAATTAGCTTATGGTTGACTGTCAAGTCTCACCTGCCCAGTGCTGCAACAAAAGATCAACGATGGGTCATTCACTTGTATTACCCAATAGTCTAATTAAACAACATTAATGCCAAGCCTAAGTTCTTCAAGACACAGTGCATGGCTTAGCAGTCTTTCACCATGTTGCTTGTCAAAATTTCTGAAAAAGGTGAATACACTAATAGGCTAATGGCTCAAAAATTTGAATAAGATGCTAAATTAACCAGCTAAGAGAAAAGGAAAATAAAAGGTCGAATTGGCTGCCATTTATTGTAACACTGGGATATTGCATTTAAATAATATAGCTCATTAGCTCAATCTGTCACGCAATTGGAAGACCTGTAGAGCTGGGAACTTTCCACAACTTTGATGAACTTAAAAGCTAATATAAAACCAAGCATCATAACAAGTAAACAATAAGAACATTTCACAATATATATCATTCTTGGCCAGGTCATATGAGGGCTGGGACAGAGCAAAATTTGTGTGATTAACATCAGGCTAAATGGTTGACTTGCCCTCTAGCTGAGCAAGTCACGATGCTGGACCATCCTTGTTCACAACTTATTCAAATCTGCAAAGTCACCTACTAGCATCACAGAATTTATGGGTTTCGAAATTTGATCCTCTATAGCTTTTTTCAGCTAAAATTACAAAGAAGGTAGGGTTTCACAATTTAAATAAATTAAAAAAGATATAGCAAGAATTTCAAGCAATAAGTAAATGTTACAACTTTAAGGAAAGAACTGCAGCCAGGGGTTTCAAATCAACTTCAAAATATCCCTTTGGTACAACCTGTCGTTCACTGCCTGTCATTTTGGGATAGAGAACTTATGCAGCAACCTAAGGAGTTCTCGTTCTAAATCTGGCTTGTTCTGTGAAAATACCTGACAATATCTTCCCACTTATCCAACTGAGCAACTCTTATGCCACTATAATTGCGTCAAAAACCTCGACAACATCATACTTTGCAGTTCTCTAAATTTTCTAGATTACACACCTGCCTAGTAATACCCCAGTCAAGGTACAGCCCATATCTCCCACTTTCTAGGACGTACTGTGAGAGGACTACAATTTTCTTTCTAGAAAACTCGCTGAGACAACAAGATGCTGACTAAATTTGTTTTTTATATGTGGGTGTGTGTTTGTTTTTTGTGTGTGTGTGTGTGTGTGTGTTCAAAAGATGAATGAAAGACTTTCATTGCTGCTTTGTCGTTAAGCCAAGCAACTCTCAACTTTACTAAAAAGTAATTTACCAGATGAAAGGAATATAGCAAAAGAATGTACTATAAAACTCAGGCAACATAAAGAAAAATGTAAAAGAGTTTAATGAAGTGATCTTAAGGAACCAGACCTTTACAAATACCAGGTCCCTCGTTCATACTAGCACAAGTAGCATGAAAGATAAAGCATAACCTATAGAGACCAGAATGCTTAACACAATCAGAAGAACATAGAATTGCAAGAAACAGAGCACACTGCTTAATATAATCACAAGAAAGAAGATTGCAATCATTCATAAAAGATGCAGACTATCATGGTACTTAACAACTCTGGAAAGTAGAACAATTACCACTTGATCACAATACAGTTAGTACATTCTTATCAACATTTTTCATTGAGCCAATTTGCAGATATCTTCATACTCAATGGCCTTAATCACCCTGCCATCATAAATCCCCTTCTCAATCTGCACCTTAGCACAGAACTTATCTGTATCAACAGCTAGCAGCCTAGCATATGACCCACGATAAGCCCCATTAACTATTCTCACAAGTCCTCCAATTTGTGGAATCACAGTCTCAAGCTCTTCTTGATCAATTCTCAAGACATGCTTACTCTCTAGCATCTCAATTTCCCCAACATACTTATCAATCACTTTCCGCACTATGCCTTTCTGCCTATAGTACCCCTTTTCTTCCAGTGCCCTGCTCATTATCTTCACAATAATCCCCTCACACAACCAATAATCCTTCCTATTACTCCTCTCCTTCGCCTTCTCTTCTTCCCTCATCAACTCATCCAACACTGAGCTTCCCATCTTTCCACTGCCCTTATTCCCCTTGTCGCCTATACTCTCATTCTCCACATCATCAAAAACAACCCTAGAACTCTCCTCCTTCAAATTACTTTTTGACAATGATCCCAAACTTAACTTAATTTTCTCGTCCTCCGATTTCTCAAACAACCTTTTCTCCTGAACTTCCTGTTCATTCCCATTCCTGTTCTCATTCCCAGTTGACATCAGCTGCTCGGCACGCTCAATCTGCTTCTTAATCTCCCTCTCCTGCTTCTCCTCCTCTGCTAAATCCGCCCTAATCCTCTTATTCTTCATCTTCTCCTTAAACAAGGTCTCCGAATCACGATCAATATAAGTAATAAACCACCCTTTCGGAGTTTCCTCAACTTTACACTTGCCAGTCCTCCCCAAATACTTAACAAACTCCGTCAAAGTCGCCCACTGAGTTGAATTCATATGAATATGGTGGCGATCGGCGATGTACTCGTTATATACCACGGTAGCGGCGATGCGACTAAAGCGGTGACTACGCTTCATATGTTCGAGAAACGCTTGTTCGAACTCTTCGGAATAGCCATCGATGATTCGATTAGGGTTTTGGCCGAAAACCTGCATCTGTCGCTGGTGTGATTCGCTCATGCAGTGGCACTTGAAGCCATTCTCATCCCGACATTGCTTTTGGCACATCTGACAATACCATCGGAGTTTTTGTAAGCCTTTCGCTTTGATTCTATTCGCTATTGCCTTTGGCGTCAGGAACTCGTTCTTTCCCATGGCAGCGGCTCAAGAATTGATTTCAGTAGGATTGTTTTGACCCCTCTAGTCTGTAGATGGCCGGCCTATAAATATCTTTTTCCTGCAAATCAAATTTACAAAATATAACCAAGAATTAGTGATCCAAATCCATATCCAATTCACCAAATTGAACATGTTTAATTTGAACATCCTTAATTTGCTTCCAAAGATTGTTAAGCAATTTTTGGGAGACTTTGTAATACCTACTAAGCTATACTTAGATTGATATGTATTCAGCTGCAATACATAAAGATAAGAGAAAACAAACAAGTAAAAGTCAGTTTAATACATTCTCGCTGCATTACATAATTTGATGGCATCTTTAGCTGCCTGGTTAGTCAACCTTTGAGCTGGCTTAGCATTCTATTTCCGTCCTACCTCAGTTAAGCCAAAAGAGAAAAAGAAGAACAAGAATGCAAAAAAAAAAAAAGAAAGTGATAAGTGGATGCTAAATGTCAATCTAGAACACAGATTTCAACTTTCAAGCAGCATAACTGGTGGTCTTTAACTTCAACGTCTAAAATCTAATTAGTGTCTATTACTCTTGCCAATTTTTTTTTTTTTTAAAAAAGTAGTTATCCAGTTTCTGCAATTCCAACTAAAAAGTATAGACTAAAAGTAGCCATCCTGATTTCTGCATAACTCAGGAAGCAACAATGGAGTTACCAAAAGAGGTGCATCCCAAATTTTTCAGTAATTTTGACATTTCCAACACATAGAAAGCAACAATGGAAACCCATTAATTCAAATAAAAGAATTAAAGAAAAAGTGCCCAATAAAGCTCGTGCACCACGTGTTTTGCTTGTCATTTACACTTTTCCCTCTCTTCTTATACATCAATGAATCTGTAGATCAAAACTAGATAGCATTTACCCATCAATGCAATTCTTTCTTTTAAAGGACGCATTTATATAGCACAAGCAAATTACAGGTTCTTGTTTTTGCCTCCTAATGAACTAGAGTGAGTTGTCAGAAATTGCTTTACATGTGTGATGAATAAAATGAACTTCAAAATATAAACAAGTCCCTTCTCATGCATTGTTAGCTCTGAATTTAGATACACGGTTCAGTTGACACAAATATCACCTTCCAATTAATTACTGAACCAGAATAAGAAAAGAGAATAAGTGCCAAATTCAGTTTTGACATAAACAGAAAACAGAAAAGGAAGTGCCAACCAAACCAACTTCAGCAACTATCGGTTCTAGAAACAAATTCCCCCAGCCTAACAACTTTCACAAGCCTACTAAAATTCACGAAATCATAGGCTAGAAGAGATGCTACATGCTGATGTGAATAACTACAGAAGTACACACTAGTAACCTTTAATTATTTAACAAGCATCAACAAAGTCAATGAGTGCGAGTTCTGCACTTTCCAACTCCACCATTCGAATTCTGCTGGATTTGGTAATTGCTCTAACTTAGTCTCTTGGGATTCGATCCGAGCTCTCTTATTGAATTGCTCATTCAACGAGCATTCTCATGCTATTCCCCCCTTATTTTCTCTATTTAATCCATTAAAAAATCCATATCTCCTGTCAAGAATTTGGGCATTGCCGATTCACTGAAAATGTGTAATCATACATAAGGAACTTAGGGTTCACTTACTAGGTTGAGGGCTTGCTTTGAAGGTTCGGCGTTTGATTAAGGGTCCGGTGTTCTGCAGCTTCTGCTTGAGGGCTTGCTTTGAGGAGCACCAGCAAATCAGAAATGGGTTGAGATTCTCATAATAATTCCAAGACAATCATATATTTGTAGCACGAAGTGGTGAAAATTGAAGAGAAATTTGGAATTTTTGTGGTGAAAATTGAAGAGAAGAAGAGGAGATATTCGGCTGAAGAGTGAACTGTGAGTGTTAAGACTGAAGACAAAGAGATTTGGACAGTGAAAGATTGAGGGTCCGTTTGGTTGGACGGAAAATATTTCCTAGAGAAGACATTTTCTTGGAAAATCACTTCCTTCTCCATAATTTTCCAATGTTTGGTTATTTAGTTAAAATATTTTCCAAATTCCTTTTTTCATGATTTCGGTGTTTGGTTTGTCAGTAAAAATATTTTTTGACTTCCTTTTTTAGTGTTTATTGACATGTTGCAAATGTTTTTCTATTCTCAAAACATTCGTCTCATTACAAGTTATTTTTAGTTTCTATCCATTATAATCATATAGCAAGGTATTTGAAGGATGAACCAAAAGAATAATGTGATAGCCCATCTAATGGTCAAGAGCCAATCGCACACAATCAGTGCGCGTGCGCACACACAAACACATACGCACACAATCGCACACAAATTCAATAATGGTCAAGAGCCAATCAAATGTCAAATTTGAAAATTACCACCAGTACACAAATTCATAAATACACATGTACGAGTAGGCAAGGCAAGTGTAGTGGGTGTGGGAAGGGGGCCGGAGCGTTGGACTTTGAATTGATATTGATATTGGAATGAGGCCAAAACCAATAAAACCAATGAGAAAGCAAGAAGCTACCGGTAGTCCAGTACATAGAGCTCTAAACGAGCCGAATCAAACCGAGTATCTCATATTTGAGCTCTACTCGTTAAGCAATTCAAACAAAGTTCGTGTTCGTTCGTTAACTTTCGATCTCCAAACCTATATTCATGTTCGGCTCGTTAAGCAAAGTTCATGTTCCAGTTCAAGTTCATGTTTGGTTAAACGAGTTGTTCACGAACATGCTTGAAAAACTCGAATTCAAATTATTTTAAGTCTTAATTATGCCATACAAATCATTAATCATCCTAAAAAATAATTAAAGCACTAAGTGACTAACAATTATTTTAATATTCATTAACTACATAACCAACATTAACACAAAAACAACAAATAAAACAAAGTAATTTGTCCTCCAAATATAAAAGTCCAGCCATAAAATTAACCCTTAAATTTGTCAAATGACAATTATGTCCATGTTTGCAAACGTTTGTCAAAACTCGGGAACATACTTGTGTTCGCTCGATTATTAATCGAACAAAAAAATTTGTTCAAACTCGGTTCGTTTAAGGTTTCGAACAAGCCTTTCACGAACAGGAACGAGAGGAACAGCTCAATTCGTTTAACAGCTCTACCAATACGGGAGGAACTAGAAATAATTAAAGCTTTTGGTAAATGAAAACCAAGTGGGGTGGTTAGGGTTTGGAGGACAAACATAAAAGAGAGAGGACTTTGTGGCTGCAAGTTCAAGAGTAACTACTCCTTATTTGGTCACAGCCCACACAATAAAACAGGCAAAATATCATTCACATGTAGCATACCAAGTGAAGCAACAGTAGAAAATTAAAGTAGACACCTCCGTATCTTGCTTTTTCTAAAGAAAGCATCTACTATATTCTTTCATTTTCTCTCTCTCTCTCTCTCTCTCTCTCTCTCTCTCTCTCTCTCTCTTACGTGATAGAGATCCCTAATTTGCTGACATCTCCCTTGGACGAATTGCATTGGTACCAAATTAATCAGCACTCTTTAGGACCACTAGTAACAAGCAGTAGGTTTGCAAAATTTAATGTGATACATATACATGTACTTTATATAGTTAAAAAAAATAGCTCGTGTCCTTGGTTACATGGACCTTACTCATCCTCCCCAGTAATGTCCCTGTTGGATGAACCAAAAGAATAATGTGACAGCCCATCTAATTCTAGCAATCTAGAACTCATTTTCTGTACACAAAAGATGTAAGATTTTGTCAAGCAAAAACTGGTTTAGACCTATATAACAACATGTAGCATGTAGAGTTCTTTTGAAGTTTTAATTACAGCAGGCCTTTGCATCAGAGCAACTATCTATGAAGATAAATCCATTTGGGCATGAAAGCCCCGTGGATAGAAATTAGAACCTGGCTCTTTCCCAGTTTTCCACAATGTGAAAAAACATCTGAAAGCCAGTGTTTCCTGATGTCACTGGAATATCAAGTGCTCTCTCTCTCATTGTTTATCCTGGTCTAAAAGTTCTAGATATTATTTTAAATGTCTAAACAATGTGCCTTTAGATTTACATGCTTCTAAAATTAGGGACATAACCTCAGCTAAATGTGTACAAGTATTACTCCTTAGAAAAACAAAAACTTTTAACTTTAAAATGCCAATATAAGGTTTTTTCTTGATATTCTAGAAGTTGGAACTTGGCACTTGGAAATAAAGTCAAGTGATGAAGCAAGCAGGATTCATGTGATAAATGATAAGATTAAATGATTTAGGACAGATAGAGATATCATCAGAAACAGGGAAAGGTGCTGCAACATTTCCAAATCATCTAGACATTTTGGAGAACTACGAAGCCTAGCCTTGACAGTGAATGAAGACTTTGAAATTTGCCAACCAACAAGAACTCCATCAATATATTCTTTGCTCGAGAAAAAGACCAAAGGAATTCATGAGTCTATCTGAAATTAAACACTGATAAGTACTACTACAAATAAAAGATTTGTGCAGCCCTTATAGAAGCTAGCATTGCTTAACAACCCAAGATATACCCAGCAAGTACCTTTTTCTGTTTTGGTGATTTTGTCCCCAGTTCCCCATGATGTATATGGACTATGTCTTGTGTAAGTCCGGTTTTACTTCTGGCCGCATCTTCTTTATTGAAGTACTTAATTCTGGTTTCTTGTATTTGCCAAGACGACAAACCTGAGTGATCATTTTACGACAGAGTCGTCATTGACATTGGGTGATTCGCTTGCTGCTATGTCAAAACATTCATTGATTTGGGAATATATCCAAAGCCTTCTGTGTTTCCACGGCTATATGCCCTTTTCAATCAAGCAGCTATGGCAAGAATCAGCCCGTGGCTTCACAAACTCAATGAATTCACTAAAACTTTTACAAATGGTCTCACCAGAATGTAAGGAAAACACTACCCTACCCTACCTGGATTCTGAGCAAGTTAAGAGGGCCGAGACAAAAGTGCCAAGATTAATAATCAGATTCCAAGAATCATACAACCCCCAAAACTCAGCAGTCAAATTAATTCATTAGCATCAATCAAATCAAATGTAACCCTAATCAGGTAAGAACAAACTAAAACAAAAGCAACCCACAAAAATTCATTCAAATCCAACTTCAAGAATCTACACCAGTAATTCTAGACAATTTTTCAAAGGGAGGAAAAAAACTAATAAGAGACCATCATACCTCTGGAAATACTTAAGGAGTCTTCACCCTTGTTGGAGATGCTGTTGCAGTAACGGGTATGAGATGTCGCTGGAGATGGTTTGCTGAAGAAGGGATTGGTTTGCCGATGAGATGTCGCTGGAGATCGTCTTTTATCGCTGCCGAAGAAGGGATTGGTCTTTTATCTATTATGTTTTCGGTTGAAGGCTTACGAAAGGAAAATAACTTCACAATGATAAAGGTTTTTGATTTTTGGATACCCCATTCTTTCAAATAATATTTTGCTTCCATCATAAATATATTTTTCAACTCATTTTTTTATATTTTTAATTACTTTTTTATCACATATACGTTATATCATAAAAATTATTATAGTAATTATTTCAAATAACATTCTATCCAAACATAATTTTCCTTCTTTTGGTGTAACTTATTTTCCATTAGAAATTATTTTCCCAAATTAGATTGTGTCCAAATAGTGGAAAATTTGGAAAACGTTGTCGAGAAAATGTTTTCCATCCAACCAAACAGAGAATGTCCAATGATTTAGGCTTTGGGTTTAGTAATTTAAGGAAATTATAAAATTGCTCCTATATTTTTTAATATTTATAAAATACACCCTTAGGTCGGGTACCTACGGGTTATTAATTTTATGACCCGAATTCATATCCGAATTTTAAGGGTACCCGACCCTTATCTGCTCCACTGATAAAAATCGAAAAATCCTAATTTTCGGTGCAAGGCGGATCAGATTGTTCAAATTTTCAAGTTGACCAGTTTTTTTTGTCCACCCCTAGTTCTTACAAGTTTTGACAGTTCACGATTCAACCCAATTTTTGACCGAGTATTAAACAGAATGGTTTTTAGAAAGAAATCGGACCAAATGAATGGCTGGTTCGCTATTTGATTATTGAACCGGCTGATCCGGTCTGAGTTTAACAACAATGGGTTGGGGTTAAGCAAGTAACAAATGAGATTTTATTTCCTCAGCTATCTTTGTTATAATACGAATGCTGCTGTTATCTAGTTAAAGCTCATTCATCCTACCGATTCTTTCCTGCGTCATCTCCCATCTATTTTTTTGTTTTTAAAAATCGCCTCTTTCTTTAATAGGTTAACTACATTTACCTCCCCTTAAATTTAGCCAAATAACGAGTCAATCCCTCAAATTTGGCCAAACTACAAAAGGGTCCCTCAAAGTCAACACTTCATTACAAAAATACCTTGCCATCAATAAACTAATGCCTTGTTTGGATTGCACTTTTTTGAATTTTTTTGTAGAAAAGCAATTTGATATATTTGAGATAAAAAGATGATTGAAAAATGTGTTAAAAAAGACTGTAGCAATTTTTCAAAGTCTAAACAAGGCCTAACATTTACCTCCTAAGGACATCTACAATGAATTATACTATTACACTTATTAGAGTGTAATTCATATGTCACATCATTACTTTATTATCACTGCTTTCATTACACCATCACTCACTGTAGATTACACTTTATAGAGTATAATAACATGGACTCACAGTCAAATCACGCATTTATTTTAATAATTCACAATACATATCCCGTAAATAAATAAATTTATTTTCTAAAAACTAATTTCAATATTTTTGGAAAATAATTTATTAATTTTCTATGAAATTTTTGGAAAATAATATTATAAATCCATGAAAAAATATAAATATTTTTTGGCTCTCAAAACTAATACATTGTTATTTTAAAAAAATTAAGTAATTATTAAAGAATGCCCAACACTTAAAATGTAAAAATATCATAATCATCATAACTGAATTAATAATGTTCTATTTAATTAATTTGACTCGATTACATAAGTTAAATCAATTGAAGTAGAAGTAATATTACATAAAGAATGAAGAAGGAAAATGGATTAGTGTGTGAGTAAGTAGAAATAAGTATTCATCACACTGTAATGAATTGATTTGATTATGGTTGTGCATGTACATTATTATAGATGCAGTTTTCTAATACAATTGATGAAACGGAAGAATTAAAAGAATGATTTGGGAAAACTAAATCAATTGTTCTCATGTTACATGGGTTATTTGGATTTAACAATTTGGAAGCACCTATTAATGGAATACTTTACTAGTAAAAAATTAGAAACGGCTGAAACTGACTGCTCAGACATTAAAGTTTACTTTAATGGCACCTAATAAAACCTCCATCTTCTCAAGCATTTTGAGGGCTTTGACGGACATTTAAGGCAATACACCAAAATATAACCTTATAGAGGGTCGATGTTTCTTAGCAGAATGATAGTGCAATTTGATTTCAATGCTAGTCAATGAGGAGGAAGTCCATTTGGTGTCAAATCGTTGATGAAATCTTCCATTGCACCTTGCTGAGAGAAGTCCAAGCACTTATCTTTGCTAATATACTCAAACGTATTGCTAGGGAAATTTTGCATTAGTGCTTCATTGATTTTTTTTTTTGGTCAAAAGTAATGCTTCATTGATTTCATCGACGAACTCATTTGGGTTCGACTCTAGTCGACAGATCTCTGGGACCATAGGTTGCTTACAGAGGTACTTACAAATCATCCATCAACACAACTCTCGTATCGGCAGCAATATTCGAATACGTGATCTTTTATGAGGAAGTGGTCAGTCCTTGCCAATTGAACCAACTTGTGTTGGCCTCTTTCCTTCCTTCATAGGACATGCAGCCCTAGTTCCTGCCCCTCTCCCATGGTCCGCGATGTCTCCGAGACACCTGATGCTAAAGTCAATACACCCTGATTTTTCGAAATCTGTACTAATACTTTGGACCATAAATGCCTCCTATTTTCACAATCAAAAGTAACAAATTCTTATCTGCCTTCTATCTCAGATAGACTCCACAAGTCCCATCTCATCTTAGTTACTAACTTAGGCATCAAAGTCATTTTGAGAGATTGAGCCTGGATCTAGTGCCTTTTATTTCCCTCTGTGGTCGCAGGCAAGAAGCTCGACAGGGACAACTCTCGGCTCTGCTATCTTGCTCGCACAAGCACCATTTAGGTAACTTTTCCAGCAGCTGCACCGTTTTTGGTGCAAAATTAATAATGTAATCTTCCTAATTAATCTAAGCAAGAAACTTTAGTCTATAAGAATTTCTGTCAAGAACGTAAATGGTCCTATATTTGCAATGCCTATGTATGCCAGGATTAGAAGTTATCTCATACTACGAATATCTTTTATTAAGTACCCAAGTATCCCATTTTTTCAAATATATAAAACAAGGACTGTGCTTTTCTATACAGTACACTTGATGAGACAATGCTTTTTTTTTTTTTTTTTTGTGAGAAGGGGGGGGGGGGGGGTGGTGGTGGAGATGGGACTTCCCGCACCTCCAAAGATTGCCACATAGACAAACGTGCAAACTCCCCTGAATTAACTTCAAGAAGGGATTAGTGATGAATAATTGAAAAAAAAACTCAAATAGTAAGCTATGAGAAAACAATATGTTAATTTTCTGTATTTTTTCTAGTTTGACTATTTTGCAGAAAAAAACTTTTGAAAAGACATACTAACATAGGATCCAAGTACAGGTTGAGGTGGGTTAAACAACAGCCAATGTAACAGAAAAACAAGCCATAGATAGATGACTAGTATTACATCCAAAGTAGAGTTCCAGATCATTTCAGCCATGAGATTATTATTATGCATCTACAGGCATATACATTTAGTTTAAAATTAAAAGTCTTCTTAATCTAAGAAAGAAAACATTTTGTCCACCAACATCCATCTTAGAAAATTAGGATGGAAAACATCACAATAGGCTGAAACAAATTAGCATATGGTTGACTGTCAAGTCTCACTTGCCCAGTGCTGCAACAAACGATCAACGATGGGTCATTCACTTGTATTACCAAATAGTCTAATTAAACAATATTAATGCCAAGCCTAAGTTCTTCTATGTAAAACTAATAAAAGTCATTCTCAGGGTCTTCTATGTAAACCAAGCCATATTCTTCAGAATCTGCAAAAATGGTAAGAAGTAGGATGAGCGACACATCGCTCAGTAGGTATAATATTTACCCCTCTGTTGGACCATGCACTCGTAGTTTTATAGATACATATATACATACATACATATATATATATATATATAAGTACAACTCAAATCGTTTGCAAATCATTCACATCTATAATTTTGAAAGTAACGTCATTTATAAAACAATCATTAGTAAAGAAATGACAAGCAGTTCAAAAGGTATCTTATTGATAATTATACATGAGAAATTGTAACGTCATAAATCACTTTATAACAATTCGTAAGTCTCTTCATATCCATTCATAAATGATCTTGTAAAACGTTGCATATCAGTTCATAGATCATTTCAAATCAGCTCATAAGTTTCATTTCAAATAAGTTCATAAATCATTCCATAACAGCTCATAACAAGTACATGCAATGACCAGCTACTGAGTACTCAACCTAGAGATTAAACCCCTTCTAGGTGGGCGACCAATAGATTTCGCGACTATCGATTGATCTCATTTCATTCTTGGGTCAATCGGCCGGACTTTATACTAGGATACCATGACCTTGTCAATCGACTGGGCTCTATACCAAACTACCAAGACTTTGTCAATCGGTCAATCGGCTGGGCTTTATACCAGGCTACCATGACCTCGCCAATCGGTTGGGCTTTATACCAGGCTACCATGTCAGTTAGACAGGACTATAGCCCCTACCGTCTATTCCATGACTGTTCTGAGCTTTACTTGTCAAAATTCATTTCATATATCATATACATAAATCTTTGCTTTCATAAAAGATTCAGCTCATTTTGTATATAAGAACATATCCAAACATTTCAAATAAGTCACATGATTCATTTTTGTATAGTAAAATATAACTTTCATAAGTATCCAAGTAAAGCATTTAATCAAATATCTTTCGAGTCAACACCACAAAATAGGATTGAAAACAAGCATTTCATTTTGCACCTTTAAAATCTCAGAAGGGTAAGTACCACCTACCTTTGTTTGACTGCTCGAGTGGAACTACCTTAGATCCTTGTATCGTATCTATCAAATGCATAGGTTCCCTATTTAGTTGTTACTTCCTATAGATGCATAAATATACCACCTCTAAGTAAGTATAAGATTCATATTTAAACCATTATATGGACCTTAATAGCATTTCCCTCAAATTGGTCGATTTCTATTTTTGGAAAGTTTCCTAATTTGGAAAGTTTCTA